AGATTGGGGGGGGGGGGGCTGATTTTTATTTTTTATGTGCTCCAGGCAGCCAGAGCAACTTGGGCTGTGGGAAATGAGGAGGTGATTTCAGCCTCTTGGGGGAGTTGGATTGATCGTAGGATTAGTAATAGATTTTGGAAGGACGGTGGCACTTGATTTATGTTTTGCATTTCCTCTCTCTCCCCCCGATGGGTTTACTAGATTTGGAGAGCTGGATTCGTTTTGGTAGCTTACAGGTTTAGGGGGACAGTTTGCATTTGGGGGTGTAGTTCTTGCAAGGCCGACAGTGGGTTGTCGTGGGTGGCCTCTGAATTTTTTTTTTCCAGTGTGAGGAAATTTTTCTCCAGCGTCTCTGATGCCAGAACAAGGCCCCAGAATGAACGGTTTCTCTCTGGGCGAGCTGTGCTGGCTGTTCTGCTGCCCACCTTGCCCTAGCCGCATTGCTGCTAAGTTGGCTTTCTTGCCCCCGGAGCCTACATATACAGTGCTGCAGCCTGACCAGCAGCAAGAGGCTGGGGCGGCGGCAGCAGGGTCAGGGACCCCAACAGGAACAGGCAGCTGCAGTCTGCACTTGAGTGAGCGGGCGGACTGGCAGTATTCACAGCGGGAGTTGGATGCCGTGGAGGTTTTCTTCTCTCGCACATCTCGGGATAACAGGTTGGGGTGCATGTTTGTGCGCTGTGCCCCTGCCAGCCGGTATACGCTGCTCTTCTCGCATGGCAATGCTGTGGATCTCGGTCAGATGTGCAGCTTCTACATTGGCCTTGGCTCTCGCATCAACTGCAACGTCTTCTCCTACGACTACTCTGGCTATGGGGTGAGCTCAGGCAAACCCTCTGAGAAAAACCTGTATGCAGACATAGATGCAGCCTGGCAAGCCCTCAGGACAAGGTAAATTGATGTTGGGGACAAGGCATCAAAGCATGGCTCTTGGCTTGGTAAGGAATATGGGTATTTTTGCATATGGTTCTCACCCTGTTAAACTCAACATTTGTGTACTTAATCTGCTAAGGGGTGGGAGGAAGACGGCTTCTTCAGAGGATTAGCAGCAGTCACAACATGAGGAACTGCATGCCTTGGATTAGTTATAAGATTTTGCTTATTGGGTCTTCTATTTATGTGGGGATTCAGTCATTAGTAGCTAACAATTGATGTACCACATCACTGCCTACCTTCATTGATAAAGGAAGCTGGGATGTGCATTTCTCTAGCAAGTTAGAGAAATGGTCAGAGGTAAACAGGATGAGGTTTAATAAAGAGAAATGCAAAGTGCTCCACTTAGGAAGGAACAATCAGTTCCATACATACAAGATGGGAAGCGACTGTCTAGGAAGGAGCATGGCGGAAAGGGATCTAGGGGTCATAGTGGACCACAAGTTGAATATGAGTCAACAGTGTGATGCTGTTGCAAAAAAAGCAAATATGATTCTAGGTTGTATCAACAGGTGTGTTGTAAGCAAAACTCGTGAAGTCATTCTGCCGCTCTACTCTGCACTAGTTAGGCCTCAGCTGGAGTACTGTGTCCAGTTCTGGGCGCCACATTTCAAGAAAGATGTGGAGAAATTGGAAAGGGTACAGAGAAGAGCGACAAGAATGATTAAAGGTCTAGAGAACATGACCTATGAAGCCAGGCTTCATGAACTGGGCTTGTTTAGTTTGGAAAAAAGAAGATTAAGGGGGGACATGATAGCGGTTTTCAAATATCTAAAAGGGTGTCACAAGGAGGAAGGCGAAAATTTGTTCCTCTTGGTTTCTGAGGACAGGACAAGGAGTAATGGGCTTAAAGTGCAGCAGGGGAGGTTTAGATTGGACATTAGGAAAAAATTCCTAACTGTCAGGGTGGTCAAATATTGGAATAAATTGCCAAGGGAGGTGGTGGAATCTCCCTCTCTGGAGATATTTAAGAACAGGTTAGATAGACATCTGTCAGGGATGGGGTAGGTGGAGCTTGGTCCTGCCTTGAGGGCGGGGGGCTGGACTCGATGACCTCTCGAGGTCCCTTCCAGTCCTATGATTCTATGATTCTATGATTGAGTATATCCCAGTTTGACACTAGGTTGAGCTCAATGGCTGCAAATTATGAATTTCTTTGTCTATGCTTGGTCTTTGTACTGGTGCAATTACAACATTTGTTGGCCAGCAATGGCTGAATTGGGGCAAATCCTATGTATATACAAACTGACAAAGCTTGAGTAATAAGTTTGAATGTAGATTAGGTTACTGACCAAAAATCAGTAACCATCTGATAGAAATTTCTTTTGGGGGGAACCTCCATGTTCCATGCAAACACTATAACGTAGGCCACCTTCTTTAGTGGTAGGGCAGGAGAAGAGGACTGCTCATGGCTGAATTCCGTGCCGGGCAGCTTTAGGTCTTGCAGCCTGTCAAAGAAATCTGGCCAGTGTGAAATGAGTAGGTGATTTCAACCTGTTTCCTGGGAGCATGTGTCTGTCTCATGAATTATCACCAGAATTGCTACTAATTGGATCTCCCTGTTTGCAGTGGGAGCATCCAACGATTAAATAAGCATGGAGCCCAAACTATCCTCTTGCCTTTGGCAGTGACCTATCTGGGTCAAGTTTGAAGCATGCTGTTGTGTGGCAATGGTATTGGAACAATTTTTAGGATGGGGGAGCTGAGCTCCCCTTCCCCCTTGCCTTACTCTGTTCATGCCTGTCACTGCTTCGAGCTGGTGCCACAGCTAGGGGCAGCCGTGGAGCCCTGGGCATGAAGCTAATGATCAGGGACCCAGTACCTGCAGCGGAGCCACTGGGATCCCAGGCAGCAGCAGACCCCCAGCAGTGGAGCCCATAGCAGCTGGGACTCCCAAGCTAACAGCAGAGCCCACAGGGCTGGCAGTCAGGACCCCAAGAGGCAGTGGGGCTGGTAGCTGGGGCCCCCTGGAACTGGTGGCCCAGACCCAGGCACTGATTGGTGTTTGGGGCCCAGGCATGTGGCGCAGTCTGGGGGACTGCTGTAGCACCCTCCACACCCTTACTTTCTGCACCTATCTTAAGTGCTTAAGTACATGTAGAAAAGCATATTCTTTTGTTGTATGTACTGTACCTGTTTGGTGAGTTAACTGTGCAGTTTGTAAGGCTCTCCAGCAACTCTTGAAAATACTAAAGCTGTTTGAAAAGTCACACGTTAATTTGTAAAGAACTACATATGCCATGTGATTTTACCCAGAGTAATGAAAGAATCAACATGGTAGATAAGATCTAAGAGGAAGAGAAGCACTATTTAAGAACCAGGTGTTAAGGATCACCTGAGATGCTTCACTCAAAGTTTCTGTGATTTGTTTCCTCCTCTCTAGCCCCAACTTTAATATTGTCTAAATCAGACATGAAAAATTGACATAAGAACCTACTTGTCTAGGGATACAGTCTTTGTCCATTTTTCTAGATTGTAAGATTAAACATTTTACTTGCCACTTAATTTTTTTATTTCAAGTGAATAGAATTAACAAGACTGATTTAAACCTGTGTTGTGGCTTTGTTCGTATACTCCAACTCAGGCAAAAGTGCTATTTTCTTTATTTTCTAAGGCAGACAAAGTGATATCTGTTCAGTGAAGGAAGATGTACTTTGTTTTGCATTTGTATATTCCAATTCTTAATGGTACATTAACAGATTCAGACTTTATTATGGGCACTGGTTTTAGGAGTCTGAAGAAATGTTATAATCATATGAGTTGGTGTCTTTTTGACACATTTTGATTCTGGCCGTGGAGATTTGCATGATAGTGACAGAGATGCATGTTTAACTGTGTGTACTTGTATATATATGCCTCTGTGTTGGTGAGGAGGAAGTTCTCCTTAGAACATGTATGGATGGATGCCAGTTAAGGGATCAGTTGCTACAGAATGTAAGCTTTTTATCTTTGGCTTCTAACTTGTAAAGAAAATCTTTTTAAATATGAACCAGCACAAAATTGTTTTCCTGAGCCGGCAGACGTTTCTTCATACACTTTCTAAGTAGCATATCAAAATTAACAAGAATCAGGGTTAGTTTTACAGTCACTAATCCTAATTTCATGCAGCATTAGAACTGAGATCCATATCTGTAAGTACTTTCCTTATAAAAATGCAAACCTGACCCGCACGCAATATGTTACAATATGTTTTATTCTTAAATCTCACTGTAATATATAGTGTTCAAGGTAGAGATATGAAGGACTAGTTGACTATCCCATAAGCAAATACTTATCAGATAGTTGACATGCTAATCATCTAGTCGCTTCTCTCCCTCCCGCCCCCTTGCTGCCTTTATCAGAAAGAGGCGGCAGGTGGGGCAGGAAGGAGTACTTCAAAGTGGCTCCATGTGGTGCTGCCACTTTGAAATGCTGTGTGCAGTCTGGGGCTAGCTGGGGTGTCTGCAGGCTGCATGTAGCATTTCAAAGTGGCAGTGCTACATGGAGCCCAGGGTGAGCTGGGGACTCCCTTGCTGATCCTAGGCTGCATGCAGCACTGCTGCTTGAAAAGTCTCAGGGTTGGTAGCTGTGTTAATCTGTATTTGCAAAAACAACAATGAATCCTGTGGCTCCTTAGGGTGCGTCTACACAGCACCCTTACCCAAAATAAGTTATGCAATTTGCGCTACACAAATTGTGTAGCTTATTTCAATCTTATTTTGAAATAAGGTGCTATTCCAAAACGTCCTTATCCCTCATTTGATGAGGTTTACAGGGACGTTGGAAAAGCAAGCCCGTTATATTTTGATATAACCAACTTGCTCTTAAGATGCAGAATAGCTATTTTTGGGATACCAGAGGTATCCCAAAATAGCTCCGCTGTATAGACGTAGCCTTACAGACTTAACAGATTTATTAGCACACAAGCTTTATGATGATGAAGTGGATTTTACCAACCAAAGCTTATGCCCTAATAAATTTATTAGCCTCTGAGGTGCCACAGGACTCCTTCTTTCTGACTAACCTGAAAGAATAGGCATGGAACACAAAGATGGCTTTGATAATAAACACTTTTGCTTGATAAACTAGAGTCTTTCCTGGCTATAAGACGGTAACGTTAAACACATTTCTAAATTTCACTCCTCTTAGTTTTACAGTTCCCCTGTAAAATATTACTAATTTTAGTAAAGTTAACAGGGATTTTATTAATTTAAATGTAATATTACCAACAATAGTCGAGCAAGACTGGTATTATTTCTTAATTAGAGTATGGGGAAAGGGTTCTCTTTACTCCATGTATTTGTAGCATGCTCATCGAGCTGTTGAATCTGTGTACAATGAATTTATATTAACAAATTGTATTTTAATATTTTTAATATAGGCAATCAATGGAAAATAAATAATATAAATTATTTTTGTGTTCACTAGCTGGCATTTGTAAATATACAAGAGTTTCTATAGTGAGTATTGTGACTGCACATTCAGGTTCCCAACTATACAGCAATTTGAATAATATTGTGCATGATCTTGGAACAAAAACCTGTCATCTCTCAAAAAACCTGAGAATTCTAAATAGTCCAGAGAGGTGGCATTTACATTTTTTATTGAATAAAACTACTTCGTATGTGCTGGATACAAAAAAAGTTTCTCAAATTACATAAAAACATAGTTTGCATTTTAAATTAACGTCTCATCCTCTCATATCTACTTTTTATTTATAAATTGGAGAAGAAAAATAAGTCTTCCTGCTTTTTCTATTCCCAACTGGTTTGTTAACTTTGAATAAACCGGTTGTTAAATTGAGCTAAACTAATACATTGAAATGAAGAAAATATTCTCTCAGTATCTGCAGAAAAGACTACTTTTGTCAAAAGCTGGTCCAGCACTTTAACAAACTTTGGTTGCTATAGCCCTTATAATTATTGTATCCTTATAAACTGAGGAGTTCAAGCTGAGATAAATCTGCTTCCAGTTAATTA